ATTGACTTAAATTGGATAAACTCACTGGCTGCATTATTGAGAGAGTCTAATGCCAGGTAATAGCAAATAGCTTGTGTGGTTGTAGAAAAGGTTTTCTGGATAAGTTGCTGGACAAGATCTAAAATGCCAAACCAAAGCACATCACTAACATCTTGATTCTCAGCTGCATTATCAGAATAGCACAAACTGATATGAAACCAGAGAAATTCAAGAAACAGTCGTTCTTTAAAAGCTGCTGAAATGCCACAATCCTTTTCCTGACTCCATTCATCAAGAGTCTTTTGTAGTTTGATAAGTCTTCTCCAAGTTGTGTACCATGGTTTACCTGACGATTCAACCTGAAATGCTTCTGTAAGATAGTTCCATGCTCTCTCCAAGTCAAAATCACCAAGAGGAACTTCGACACCAGTAATCATTTTAAGCCCAATTTTAGCTAAAGCAGGAGCACAAACAAGTAGGGCTTTTAATGCTGCAATGGCTCGATCTAAATTTGTTTGTTGATAATCCTTATCACCACAAATGCTATTTAATGTATTCTTAATAATTTTGAAGAGATATTTATTGTCATAATTGCATTTAAAGCTTTTGACGTTTCCATCCGGTTCATTGAATTCCGAACAATTAGACTTCCAAAAATTTCTTCCATGTTGCATAATCTTTTCATTTGTTCTTTTGTACATGGAAGTAGTTTTTCTAATGTCATCAAGAAACCGACTTGCAAGTGTAGGTTTACGCTCGCACAGTTGCTCCAGTAAAGCTGTAATGGTTCGTAATTGCCATTCCAGTTTAATAGGTGTTTCTTCTGAAAATGCTTTGTCGTCTGTTTGAGGACGCAGCCCCTCCATAGCCGCTATGAGCATCTCTAATGACACTGAATTACCTTCATGTTCAAGAATATACTTGAGGGCGTAAAAATTCTCTGGATACTGTATGTCCACCAGCAATTCCTTTATTTGCGCATCGGCTGAAGTATGTCCTTGTTCAATCAGCCTGCGTATAAGTTTAGGGGAACTGCCTTGGTTTACAGTGCTGTTCAGCGTTGATACATAATTGTTGGAGGTTGAGTTTACAGTATCCTATAATAATATAAATGTAATGTGGTTAACAGTTAGCGATGGAGTACATCTAATATATGATGAAGTTTTTTTGTTCCATACCCCGTATGCCATGATAAGAATAACAACTTAGCTATTCACTTAACAACAGATCGCAGATATAACTGATAAATGCTATTGATTAAAGTTCCGGTGTAGTTGCATTGTGTAACAAGTACAGATCTTTGCTAACGTGCCGCCTTCAGCATGCAAGGATCCGGTGTCTTTGAAGGATGATTCATACCGACGTGAAAATATTTAGCTTTGGTGTAATATTATGGGAAATATCCAGCGGCAAAGGCCCATGTGGAGAGCCTACTGAACTTTTGCAAATTTTTGTGTATAGACTTAATGGCTCTCGTGATCCCCCATTTCCTGGAACACCTGAAGTCTGTATTCAGATTGTTGGTTGGGAATGATAGTCCTAATAAGCGGGCCATTGTGTGCTAACATTTATATGAGATTGAAGCATTGTTATCAAATGGACGATCTCAACAATCATTGGAGTTGAACCAAATAATGCATTGATGTTGAGTCGAAGGGGAGGTATCTAAATCTAGGACGATATGACAAGTCACTGAATAATCTCACAAATCTTCAGAGACTGAACCAAATGATGCGCGGCATTGAGTCGAAGGGGGAGTGTCTATTCAACAATACGACAATTCATTAATAGATCTCAACAATCGTTAGAGATTGAACCAAATAATGCATGAACATTGAGTCGAAGGGGAGCTGTCTATCTAACTCTAAAACGATACGACAATTCACTAATTGATCTCAACAAATTGAACCAAATAATACATATAGCTCATTTTTATACTATGGTATGACAATGCAAGTAAATAATGTTAACAAGCATCATTGGAAATTGAAAGAGATGATGTACTTGGACTTCTGTAAAAGGATATCTTATAATGAACTCAAACAATTTGAGCGTGCATTAATATCAGCAAAGCATTAGAAATTGAACCGAATAATGGATTAGCATTGAGCGTACGAGGATTGTAAACTCAACAATTATTGAAGATCGAACCGAATAGTGAATGTTCAAGGATGAGACATATTACGTACGTACATTTGAAACAGTATGACCGTGCATTAATGAAATCATTGGAGATCAAGTCGGCGCATTGACTATATATAAGGGAAACGTGTATCTTGATCTAGAAGAATACGACAGTTTATTAAATGATCTCAATAAGTCGTCAGCAATAAAACCAAATGATGCACGCATATTGAGTATACGGGGCAATGTCTGATGCGCAGGCAATTAAGAATTAGAGGCCGGATTTATAAGATGCTCAAGCATGATATAAGAGACAATTCGGATATTTTGAGAGATTACGGTGCTTTGATATATTATAGCTAAATAGAGTTTTAATTTCAAATGTTCTAAAGTTCAAGTTTTTTACACATAGAGTTTGATGATGTTTTTCTATTTTTGATGGATGTAATGATTCAACTTTTTTGCAAAATATAATACGATTATTGAGTTGTCTATTTAAAAGGGAGGTTTTGGTTTTGAATAATATTTAATAATTGGGAGCATTCCTAAATGGTCAGAACGGTTTACAATAGTACCATAAAAAATATGAAGCTATATATAGTTGTTCAGCATAAAGAAAACTTTATTCAAAATTCGAATAAATAAATTCGTTGTATGTGAATTGAAATTACGGTATGTCAGAATAAAATTGTTACAGAGAACCAGATAAACGTACTATCACTGACATTAAAAATAGTTAATTTCTATGATATATGTTGGTAATATGCACATATTGGCTTGTTGATACCATGATAACAAGGAGGTTTTATTACGAGTGCCATGTAACTATACTATAATTAACTTTATCTTAAGATGACGTAGACTATCTTCTTCAAACAGTTGCTAACAATAAAAAAGGATTAGATATATCACGCAGTGCATTATCATACGATTTATATTATTTAGCATGTCGGTCAAATAGTAGTTTAGATAAAATCATTACATAAGATCGCATAAAAAATTTTATAACTATAAATATATTGTTTGAGATAATGGGTTGCAAGCACATGTTATGTTGAAAATTATCTGAAATGTCCGTTGTCAATCGTATCTATTACAATCCACATAAATACCATGTAAACAAATTTTATTTACATTCTTCATGTAGATGTACCGTTCTCTTACGCGTACTGACATAAATAACGGATGCCGTGTGCTCTGTACCTGTTGCAATACAAAAAATAAACTCGCAAAAACTTATAGAGTTTGATTGCTTAGGCCTGGAACTGTACCAGTCGATTTTTCAGAAGTATATTTACTAATTCCATAGAGCCGAAGCTGGTTGTTTTGAAACTTTTGAAACTTTGTTTGTATACAAATTCGAAAACAAGAAACATATTTTGACTGTTTTTAATTTTACAACAAACAAAACTTATCCCGTCACCAAAAAAATCACAACTTCGGAAACGTTTGAGCTGGAGAATGTAGAAGCAATAGTTTTAGAAGTCAAAAATCTAATCGACAGTCATATCAGTAAAATGCAGTTAATAATGTGGAGATTGGACTTTCATAGAAGGAGTAGGGGTGAATAAACCTTACGACATGCTTGCACGAGCTGAGTTGTGCTCTGGTTTTTGGACAGTCGTATATCGTTGTTCACATTATTCTGTGGAACATTTCAGACAACTACGTATTTGTGCTGTCAATAACCATACTAATAACTTGCTGCAATAGAAGTAAACTTGACATTCTGTGTTACACATTTCTACGTCTGTCAACTTTCTGCTATATATAAGCCCCAACTACTAGCCTTGCGGTGGACAATTACACAAAATCCAATATTGGAGAAATCACTACTTTGTGCATGTGGTTTACCACAAAAAAAAGTTTGACATAAGATAGTATCTAAATTCTGCACGGACAACCTCCTCGCATATTTGCGCTACGCTATTTATTGCATATAGAAAATATAAGTAACGAGTAAATTTCTTGAGTAGCTTTGATTTTCTAATACCTTACCTTCGCAACTTATTTATATTTAATATTTTTTCAGAGAATTTTGATAAATATTAATAATAAAACTATTAAGACGAGGCAGCAGCATGTCGAAGAATTAATCGAACGGTAGATCAAATAGAGAAGTGCAAAAGACAGCGTAAAGATTCAAGAGCATGGATATACAATCAATAAAAAAAATACACGCTTATGACTCTGTATTAGCTTTACTTATGTAGGAGTAGGCAAGTTAACCTTTCATGGCGAAAAATACAAGTAGCGTTATGGCAATCAATCCGTTGATATTGTCTAGCGAAAAAGACAAGTGGCATTGATGACGCTCAATTTGTAAAACAGTGCTTATTAATATCAACAAAGTGTGTGAAAAGGATTAGGAGACAGAGCGATGAGCGGCTGCTACGATTGTTGCAATTCATTTCAAAGCAAAGTGTAGTATATATCCGTACTTCATGCATAAAGAAGACCCTTTAATGTCCCATTTGGAAAGAAACCAATTGTCATGCCACATGTCACGTCATCAAATAGTAATAGTTGCAAATTGTAACAAAAACTTATAAATACACGTACAACAAAATTCATAACCTTGACCAGCTAACTATCAAACTTTTTATCTTCTAATAATAAATTCTCAGATGCATTATCATTCTTCTGCCATTTTTTACGACGTTGTCTACTCTTACAACGTATTCCTTCAAAAATAACTCCAATGAAAGCAGCCTTTGTTCCACCGAAAGATTCTTTGATGATGCAGGGTCCAAGAACGGAATATTTGAATTGTCGCTATTCGCTTGCTGGTTTTTCTCAGATTTCCCGTAATTTCTTAGATGAAGATAGAGAGTGGACCTAACTTTGTGGCGAATGCACGGCAGTTTGTGAATCAAGCCCCATGGACTCAATTCCTCAGAGCCTATAAGAAAAACGGGAGTAATCGATCTAGACGCGTAAAAAATACGTACGCTTGACATAAATAAGGGAATAAAATTTGTTCCACACCGTATAAGAGCACATAGATTCCTATTGAAATAGCGTACATACCACCTACACTACTGAGTAAATCACTTACCGTGAAATCGCTAATATTAAGGAGTCAGCATATAAAAGTGTTCAGTAACAGTAAGTAGCAATAACTTTTATTTTTATTCGAGCATTTTAAGTGTCTTATGTGTACTCACGAGTTTTCGGTTTCTGTTATGACTACATAAGAATTGGAACTTTTATCTACAAATGCGTAACTTTCGTTAACGCCGTTGGGGTATGATACTAAACAAAATGTGCGATTAGTATGTAGTTTCTCTCTCGATAAGCGGGATCGCTAATTAAATATGGTATAATACTTGTTGCTCTAGCTTACTGAGGATGCCATTTATCATTGCTATAGATTTATGATCGCCGTTTCCAGAAAGTACGTTTACGGCATTTTGATTGAGGCGATTAAATATTCTGCGTTCGTAAAGGAAGACGCACGACTAATCACGTCATGTGAAGATTGTTGTTATTGATATATTGTGGAGCAGATTGACATATTACTGTATTAGATTCCGCTTACCTGATTGTTAACGAGGTAATAAAAGTTAGTAAACTCTGCCGTAGACTCGTAATTACTAATTTTTTTTAAGTGTAGACTTTTGGGACGCTATTACTTGCAAATCAGGCAACGTCTCTAAGGGTTCTTTTTTATCAAAATTGTATAGCATAACAATTTTGCTCATATGTAAGCTTGTGTGGAATACATTAATTGTATACCTTTATCAATAAACCACGCTTGCAGATTAACATCGCTGCTAGCAAAATCTTAATCCGTTATTGTAAGATGGGTCCGTTTGTATGCATTGAAACTTGTCATGTAACCACCAGAATATTGATAGGCGTTGCCGACATACTCATTACAATTATGCTTCGCTAAAATATCAAATTGATGCACACATTACGTACGTATCAGTATTGGTTATTAATATACACATGTTGTTGGGGACCTGTCTCAGTTCGGAACCCAGTCACTCAGTCCAGAACCGAAACAGGTCCCCAACTGAGGTATAACGGGTCCGTATTATTTCATCGACAATCATTTCACCGACAGTACATTTCACCGACAATTAACTACCAAAAAAGGATAACTTCGAAATAATGTTGGTGAAGATTTGTCGGTGAAATGATTGTCGGTGAAATAATTGTCGACGAAATGATTGCCTCCTGGTATAACATACATAATAAATCAAGTCACAGTTATCAACATACCATTATCAAAATAGATCGTGCTGCAGTCGATACTGAAGTTAAAAGTAGAGAGAAAAAAGGCGGCTAAAAGAAAAAGACAACTCAACATTAAATTCAATATCAATTTTGTTATATTAATAGGAAGAATTACGTACTTGGAGCAAAAACGGAATTAGTGCTGTCTTGTTTATAGATTAAAGTTCTCACCCCGGGACAGCTTGTATGCTTTCCAGCAAAGATAGATTAATACACCTATGTAGCAAATCCATAAAGATATTATTCTCAGGTTTCTGATAGCAGGGAGCTCAGAACGTCGTGAAGGAAATCCGCTGATAATGAATTTTTATTTATTTTATTGTGGTGAAATATACGGGGGTAAAATGGTCGAGACTAGCGTTCACAAGATAATTTTAACTTTAGCCCAACCGAATGCAAGTTGCGAATTTAATAAATTACCAAGAACCTGTGCTGCACTTAAGAATGCCGGAATGCAAATCTTGCTTTCGAACAAGATTGTTTTTACCAAAATAGTTGTTTCAAATTAAAGGTTTCATCTTTATGTCGTACTACATAAACAATTTTTTATGAAACACTTTTCCTATTTTTAAAGCAAGTCATTTATTAATTTACAAATATTAAGACCGGCGACAATCTAACTTAAACACAGTCTGTATCTTTTGAATTGTCGTACATAAACAATTTTTTACATTGAAGAATATAAGATTTAAGCGGTTGCGTTTATTTTACACAGAAATTTATGTAACTACGTACAAGTGAATCATAAGCTAAATTAGATTGAATGCAGCGATCAGGTGAACGTAATAACGTTACACGACGACGCTTCGGAGAATCAACTCCTAAATTTTACCATTGTTAGCCATTCTAACATAAACTCATACGAGTTAACTATATTTACATTTTATTATAAAAGCTTATTTATTTGTTACGTTCTTTGTTGCTGAAACTTTAAACTCCGAAATGGAAATGGAGTTAATTTTTTATAAGTGTTGCATAAACTCATTGTAATACACTAAACGTATTTTGTCTTCTGGAAGAAGAGTAGATATAAGCTGCCGCAAATTATTAAAATACGGTTCGACTTGCACTGTCAAGTTAATGAGTTTTTTAGTATATTTGATTCCAGAGAAATTTTTAGCCGAAAGTAATTTCTTATAATCTGTGAATAATACACGGTCGGTGAAGTCTAGCTTAACAAATATGAAAGCTTTTTCTGGATTGAGTCTAATTATAGTAAAAACTAGATTTGTTTATGTAATCGACTGTAAGAAACGCCCCCTTATAATAGTCGGACCACAAATTCTGCAACTTTTGTCTGACAATATCCCTTTTCCATAAAAATAAACTCTGTTTATTTTTCGGTGCATTGAATCTATCATGGTTTAAGAAATTGCGTTAACCTCCTTTCCCAGTTTGTTTTTATATACGACTATACATGTCTATAGATCTAGATTTTGATCTAGCACCAGCACCAGCACCGGCTCACACTTTTTCACCTCCATACCCGCATTCTTTTATAATAAACAAAAATTTTTGTTTTGTGTATCTGTTGCTCTAACAATGTTTCCCGTCTTGTTTCACTTCTGCTTGTAACTTATAATGTAATATCCTATAAGTTGGATTTTGTACATAATTATACATTCTTCGCCGATATTCAGTTTTATTTTAATAGATAAAAACTTTAAGTTTATTGAAGAAGAATCGATATACACAGGCGAACTCGATAAGTCGGTCATGCATGATGGACCGACTTATCGAGAGAACCGACTTATCGAGAGATTTTAAATATTAAAACTGAGAAAAGGGCTTGGGAAGTTTTGGCCTTCTTAGGCCAAAATTGAATCATCGAGAGACCGACTTATCGAGTTTGCCTGTGTATTGCCCATCATAGATATATAAACTAATAATTTGTTGTGCATTGAAAAAATCTCGTGCGTACTATTTTTCAATGTGCGAATAAAAAAAGGAACACGATTACACGCTCAATATCTTTTTACTTCGAACTTTCACTATTGTGAACTCGTGTAAACTTTAAAACAACAAAATGTAAAATGTCCTTGGCGTTATTGCTATATCTATCTACTTTTGACACAAACCATCGTACGGTTAGATCAATGTACGTTGGATAAAAAAGACTACATTTACATTTTAATCGTAATAGTAACGCTAGAAATTACATGTCGATATCCAATAATTTTAAGCAAATAATCGTTCAATAATCATAATCATGTGAATGAGTTCGAAGTTCAATAGTTCAACGCACACCATTCGAACGAGTCGATTCGCACATTAGCAAGAAAAGGATAGCACTCGAAAGTCATATAATAAACTGTGTGTACGAGATTCAATCATTCAATGCACATGATTTCGTTCACTGGATCGGTGCAATTGATATCGTATTGTTCGATTAGCTTATACTTACATTATGTTAATAAAATAATACTTGCAACAGTTATTATTTTTATTCAGTTTTGGTAATGCAATAAATAATCAACCAACAGTATGTGTAAATCCCGTTTGGGTCCCTAAAAACCGCATTTATATTATTTAAATCCCGTCCAGGGTCCCCAAAACCGCATTTACATGGTGACGGGATTTACATACAAGATAAATATCCATTTCCGTCTTCTCCTGCATATTGTCACAAAACAATCTTCGTTATATAACGTTCTTGTACAATTATACAAATACATAATTTTTGATGTAAGATTATAAAATTTTACCCGCTATTGTATGCAGGAGGAAGTCTCAACCTGATTGTTCGCCTAAATTAGAACTTTAAATTCGTCGCATGTACTACATACAGCACACAATTATATGTACCCCTTCACTTTGTCGTCAAGTAGATTATTGAAATAACTTTAGAAGTTAAACCATCTCTATCCAATGCGTGAGCAAAATAAGTTGGTTTCTACCTTATTTACTAACCTTTAAGTAATTACAGTTACTGTTAATATTGTCACTTTTATTACAATTTGCTGCAATTATAATATTCCAAAGTTCTTAGCATTTATCTGGTTGTAATTTGAATGCCAAGATAATTAATATTGGTATTGAATCTGTTAATTTACTCTTACGGGCAACGCAGTCTCTTGTCTAGCCTGTCATTGTTAATTCGAGAACAAGCATACTACGAAGAAACAGACAATAATTGTAGCAATATGGCCGCCGTAAGTCTTTATTTTACCTCACAATATGTTTTTCGCACTTTTAGACGGTCATTGACCTTCGGAAGATATGCAGAGTACTTGGACACTTCACATAATAGTTTGAGCGTACCAAATATTAATGGACATAATAGTTTTAAAACACACTTTTTTACCACTGTATAGAAAATATTTGTTGACCTTTACTGTGTTGGCTAACATTAACAACCTATTATGTAAAGTGTAATATTAAAGTAGCAACAAAGTTTAACGTCCACCCGCATATAAAATAAGATAATATTCATTTAGAAACGGCGGGGTATTTCATTACTAATTGATAAATCTATCTCACATACTCACACAGCAACCCGGCAATATGCAAAATATAGTTAAACGTATTTCATTTGTATTCTTTTTCTTGGTAAGTAGATTAAGACGGAAGAATTAGGATTTTTCTCTCAGCTCGGCTGTTTAATATCATTTATATATTTAGATAATTACAGTAGTAAATGCTCAAACAATGTCGGGCAGCATTTTCCTAACGACTAAGAGTTCATGGTAAGATAACAATGAGATATGACATAAGCATAAATCCGCTAATTTCTTCTTGTGGCCTGGTATTGTCATACATGGCATTGATACATAAAGGGCGAAAGATTGAAATCGCGTGTTTTAACGTAATCATTTATCATAACAATTTCAAAAGGTCGATATGTACTTCACAACCAACTAGTTATTTTAGTAAGTACATAATCCAAAGTAACCAACTTTTTTTTTAAATCGTTTAATTCATTACTCAGCAATTTTTTTTTGCTAAACTACATAGCCTTTCTCGCTACAACATCACACCAAGTTCCTGTGACACCGAATTTCGGTAATAATTCAACCTTGTATGGCTTGCCTAATAATCCACCTTGCGCAATTGGAGTGCTTTCGGAAGTTTTATCTTCAACAGATCTCGTTGGTTTTGTCAACCCACGTATTCGATCACTTTACCATCTATGTCATGGTTAGTACGACATTTGGGAATTTGTATGAGGACACTCGTAGATTAGCTCGAGCCTATCACTGTACAAGCTTATGGCTCCATTGCTTTTTAACCATTCGGCATAAGTATATTGACTAACCCGTTATACACATTATTTTTTTCTACATGATAAGTACCAACTGTGTAGACGCTTGTGATCAAACTAAACTCGCCGCTCCACTTCAATTAGATATTTGGTGTCTTCTTGTGAGCAATCCAAATGAAATATCCTCTGCCTATGTCAATGTTACTATTCAGCTTTCAGCCCCAGCTACGATCACGTCGACGTATACATTAACAACAACGACATCAACATCGACATCGGCAACTCCATCCTCGGTTGGGAAAGGCGGGGATACAACGGTTGTGGTCACAGTCCCAACCCCATCTTCTGCAAGTAAAAGAAGTGAGTGGCATAGCACAATTTACTACATTGGACTTGCATGGTTTATTTGGAGTTTAACATCATATAGATAAAGAAAACTAGTAATTGATTGTTGATTTCAAGGTTGTTTTAACACGAACATTTGTAGTATAAGTAATAAATAAACGAGGGTTTTCGATGCAATTCGCTGAATTGGTTTATTATTAATTATAACTAGGTTTAGCATCATGCAAAACGTAGCTTGAAATAAAGTCGTCTTTTAATATACTTTCATAGTGCATCGAAAGGCAATATGATACGACATTGTTTCCAAGATTTGCCTATTTTTTTTTGAAAAGACATAATACTTTACAAACTATTGGCGAAGCAGCATAAAACCACAAGACTCAAAAACACGAAAAATTTTGCTAATTAAATTTCAAATTGACACTGTGAAGCCCTTTAAACTAAGGACAGCATAACATTTTAACAATAGAATGTACTGTACATCTCTTTAGCTATTAAAAGGTTTTTGTTTGTATAGAGAAGCTATCGTGAATACTGAATTACCTAAAAGCATTCGAGATGCCGCACTTCTCAAAGACTTGGCTATCGCTTCTGCCATAATCTAATGACACATTAAACTGTTTGCAAGTTTTATTTTTCTTTTTCATTGCGTATCTTTGAATGGCCTGTTAATACTGTACGTAGATGTGAGCCGACACATCAGGACAGCATTAGTCCCTCGGCATTGTCTTCACAGATTGAGAAACATGTCCCACGAACGAGTCTAATACTAATAAATCTCTTAGCTGGTTCCGTCCGCAAACATTTCCACAACACAGGTAAGTCGATTCTTATCATTGTAAGTATAGGTATTAATTTAAGAGCGAAGGCATGCATCTTGCCTGCTGTATGTTGGCAATATGAAGCAATTGAATAAGTGTATTTATGAAATGAAGTTTTGTGAGCGCACGTCTGTGAAGAAAAAAACCAATGGTTCACAAAATGTTGAAACATAAAACCGGAAGCTTTGAAGCTGTTGACAGTATCAGAATGCAACTGTTCAAATCAATAGCAAGCAATCGCTTATATAATAAGGTGTAACACTTTATTTTTCTCGCATTGGTTTGATATCCACGGATATTATAATAAAGTATTGATCCTATTCTACGATTTATTTGTTTTACTTTTCTCCACTTTCGTTCACTAATTTGCGTATAGTTAACAGCAAACAATTGTTTGGCATTTTGAATAGATAATGGGATTTTTGTGCAATATTTTTAGCAGGCCTTAAGAATCCTCGCGCTCTTTTTCCCACAGACGCACGCCATATAGTCAATTAAAAGCATTATTACCTCCATGTTATCAACACCAAAAACTTTGCTTCTTCCTTGCGTGCCTGAAAAAGGATTACTGCACATCCCCAGACTCTGTAAAGTCTGCCAATGCTAGAGCAAGAAACGCTCTTATCTAACGCTCTTATCTTCTTTGAGTAACCGTCGTGGTGACATACCCGTCTGCTCACTGGCTACGTTTACGCAATCGCTCACAATCGTTTTGTAATCTGCTGAGCACAGCAACTACCTTATATTGAGTTGGTTTTGTCCCAGAACACGCTTAATATTCGCTCTCAAGCACAAGTTTTCAAAGTATAAATGCTTGCTTTCGCCATTTTCGCACAAAAAAAACGTGACCAAATCGTGTGACTCCAAAATTTTGAAACCGCAATAAATTGTTGTTCCTTACATACTATACACAGACTACAGTTACTTTAAAAAAATTTTATTTTTTTTTTTTACATATGTTTTACTAGTAATTTCAAGGCCTGCTGAAAAATTTTGGGATGGGTAGACAGTTATACTATACTTTCCGTTTTATTGACATTTTCACTTCTTGTATTATCTATAGCATAACGAATTCCACATTGAGCTACTACTGTTGAAGTTGCCAAAAAATCCCGTGGGACGTTATCAGTAAAGTAAGATATATTTCTAGTTAAAGACAGTACCAATATAAAAACGCACGCTTTTACAAAATAAAAACTGATTGGCCACATTGACAAAACCAATAATGTTTGCAGAAAGTTTGGGGTATAAAAGAAGATTGCATAAATAATTTTAAATAATGTTATACGTTTCTTAACCTTAACCACGCAACTGAATACGATAAGGATGAGCAATGTAACCCAAAACAATTTGTTAATTAAAAAAACCCAGTTACCCAAGTAAAAAGCCCAGAATGTTGTAATTACCATAGCGGGGAAAAGCGTCAAAAAGAAGAATATGCCTGACCATATATACCTATCATTATTCCTATTATCACCATACACGTTATTATTGACCTCACCAATTGACTGCCGTTTGATTATTGCAATTAGCGCACAAGTTAGGTGTAAACACATGTTTACAATTGAAAAGATTTTTACAGCCAGCTTGTCATCATAGGCAAATGATACTATTAATGGAATAAACCAAGTAACTATATTGTACAAGAAATCGTCCAGCAGTGGCAACAGCTTATTTTTTATCGAGCTACTTTGAACAGTGTTGTCACTTCGAGCATCATTATCTCCTCCTCCACCACGTTTTTCCGAGACTTTTAACAGCACGACAAAGGTAATTGGGAAAAGCGTGTTAATAATTGCGTCGTATAAATCTTGGTGCGACGAATAAGAGTCATCGACAATAGACGCTCTTGCAAGTGAAATGAGTGAGAAACCCACAATATAACGGAAAAGAGAATTTGAAGCTCTTGCTAATGTCTGTTTAGCACAGTAGTGTTTAGTCTCCATTTCAGAAGCTGAGTGGTTTATAAGTAATCTGGATGTGTTCTGATAAACTGGAGGGATGGTCGTAAGTTGCCAATCGCAGATTAAAGTTTATCATTTAGACCAAATTGATGTTGCATACATATATTTATAGACTTCTTGTCATTTATTAATTGTCAGACCACTTTTATTTTTGTCACTCCATTGATAAACTATTTTCGTATTAAACGTACCTAGTACATAATTCTTGGTAAAATAATTGGTGGCTAGCATCTGGCGTAACGGAATTATGATTCGAAAATGAAGCACCCATGTCATAGACCATAATTCTTGGCAAAATAATTGGTGACTAGCATCTGGCGCGTAACGGAAAATAAAGCCCCACGTCATAGACCATATTGAGGTTACTTCATTGATAAACTATTTTTGCATTAACGTACCTAGTACCACATTACTTTACATAATTCTTGGCAAAATAATTGGTGGCTAGCATCTGGCGTAACAGAATTATGATTCGAAAATAAAGCACCCATGTCATAGACCATATTGAGGTTACTCCATTGATGAACTATTTTTGCATTAAACGTACCTAGTAGCACATTGCACATTGCCTTACATAATTCTTGGCAAAATAATTGGTGGCTAGCATCTGGCGTAACGGAATTATGATTCCGAAAATAAAACACCCATGTTATTGGTTCTAATAACAATGAAATCGATATCAAATAGGAAGGGAGAATTGTTTATCTTCCTATAAAGAGATAACAAATTAGAAATCTTTTTCGCTTACGCTCATAAATACTGAGCTAATTCCACAATAGTGTATGAGTCATGTATTTTAGTACAGGTAAAACCTGTCTAAACTGGCCGAACTGATTTGCCGTTTTTCGGCCGGTTTAGCCAGAGACCGGTTCAGGTAAACGCTTAGATAAAGAAAATTTCTAATTAAAGAAGTTGGTACAGTCGTGAGGCGACCGGTTAAACCCGAGACCGGTTTAATCAGCGCCGATTTAGACAGGTTTTACTTGTACTTCTCAATTTGATCGAAGAGGATGCTTTGATGTTATTGAGATTTCTTCTGGTGCTGCTTATACAAATCAGAAATTATATGATTACCCTTCTACTTAAAACTGTTAACTCAAATACCCTTTACTGTATATTTTGGGTCCGGTTCATTTCAATTTTTATAGGATCTTTATTGACAACTACAGTGAAACTGCTAAATATAAAGCTGTTTTTAGACAACTAGTACATGAGGAAGCATATGCTAACTACATTACATAATATGTGCGACTAAGGTTGGGACTGAGTAAGTTTTTTATAATCCCGACTTACATCAATAATATACCAAATTATACTGTATAGCAAATTGTAACTATGATGCGATTTATATTCGAATTTGAATGTGGACGACGATCATTGTTCGCGTGTTCTAAGTTTCTGTAATTGTGTTGCCAATCTTACTTTCACAGACGTACTATAATGGCGTTACAAAGCGGACAAGAAACACACCTCGATGATCAAATACATTGAATTTGTCAGTAAGAACTTCTCCAGACAATGTTAAAGTATCGTTTGTTTGTAACAATAGCCAACATTAGAAATGAGAAATTTGTCTATATTAACAGTTTTTTGTCAAATATTGCTGATGGAAATTGCCTTAGAAAAATATACGAATTACTATAGGTTAGAAAAAAAAGTCAGCTTTTGCAAATAGCACACGACTATGTAAAATTCCTTTACGCAACTAGTACTGTCAAGATATTTATAAAAGATCATATTATGTGCAGCCAGGAAATTCAAGTTTATTCAACTGCCGTTGATCCTGTCAACAATTTTTGACTTACTCTGCGTCGATGTCTTTTTTTTTTACCTTTTACATTTGGAATTTAGCTTTCCAAGATGAATTTTTGCTCTATATCATTGACATTATCGTTCTTAATATTTTACTTCTGATCTTAAGGATATATTCGGGTAATTATCCATTATCGCCAAGTGTGTGACAAAACTTTTTTGTACATCTGCAGTAGCTGGCTATTTATTTTTTATGCAACGTTAAATTTGGTAATCGGCAAAACAGCTTATTAGACTTACTATAACCAATAAACAAAGTAGTGACAGTATAATTTACACGTGTGCATACTAAATCACATTAACAACAAAAAGATTTAAAGTTTGAAAGATTGCCTTTTTTATTAAAATGTTTCATTATATTATGTAAATGGCACGGTTTGGTTGTTTTTATCATTACCCGACTTGCTCTGACAATTAAAGTGGACAACAATTGGCGATGCTCATGCATTCATTCGAACCGAACGTTATAATAATATTATTAAGAGGTTTTAATGATAGACCAAATTTGCTGTACTTTACAACTCTACACCAAGAACGCTTATTCACATTAATTGCACACAAATGATCGCATTCAAATAAAATAACGATTAATTATTAATTTTCCGTACTATCTATATGAAATTAAACTTCCAAATAACCATACGAGTCCAAAGAACAAGATTAGGCTACTTTGTTCACTCATTTTACTTGCAGAAGAGGTTGGAACCATGACCACAACCGTAGTAATAGCGCTGGCACTGGCACTGGCACTGGTACTAGAAGTACTGCTTGAGGTTGCGCTCGATGTTGGTGTGGACGTATCTGAAGCTGAAAACTGAACTTTGACGCTAACATAGACGGAATTTATTGCTGGATTGCTCACAAGAAGACACCAAGTATTTAATGGAGGTGGAGTGGCTGGTTTAGTTTGATCGCAGACTTGAACACAGTCGTTGCTATTTGGTTGTGGTTGAATGGTATAATTGTTTAGTAAATGTACTTGTGCCTAGCGTTTATTATAAAACTAATTTATTGAATTACTCCCCACTATGAGTTTCCCAAATTGCCTATAAACTTTCTCGTTTCTCTTACTAACCATGACATATATCGTAGAGTAGTCGTATAGTTGACTTGATTTGGGTCAAGGAAAATACGAAGATCCGCCCAAGATAAAGCTTTCGAAAGCACTCCGCTTGTGCAAGGAGGATTATAAGGGTAGGCAAAGAAGGGTGTTTGAAAACCAAAGTTTGATGTCAAGGGAAGTGCTTGGTTTGATGTTGTAACGAGAAAGGCTATATAGTTGAGCAAAAAAACTTGCTGAGTAATGAATTTCCACACGGGCTTAACAATGTACAGTTTATACTTACTAAAAGAACTCGTTGGATTTGAAGCACAAATCCACCTTTTTTAAATTGTTACAATAAACAATTACGTTAAATGTGTGATTCTATCTTTGCCAACATGTGACACACACCTGCAAAAACATGTCTCATTCTTATCTTACCATGAAGCGTTGTTGCTTATATAAACGTTGCCCGACAATGACTGAGCGTTCACTGTAATTATCTAAATGTATAATGCTATCAGACAGCCGAATAGGGACGGAAAATCCTAACTCATTTTCGTCTTACCGATAAAAGCAGTACGAATAAAATATTTTTAACTGGATTTTGCATATTGTGTGAGTTATATTTGAGTATGTGAAAATCAAGAAAGTTTTCCTTTGTTCATAGCCTTTCTATTTATATGTGGGAGACATTGACTTTGTTGCAGTAATTTCTATTCTTTTTGTGCAGCAGATTGAGTTCAGCAAACCCCCAGTTTTTAGGTAATACGCTTGCTCGTGGCATCAACTTTTTATTTGCAAATCACCCTGAGTTCAAGTGTAACAGAGCTTTATTATATACAATTCTAAATTTTATGCCACAATAAATAACTGGCTGGGCAAAGACGAATGCTGTTAGATTAATTAAAACACTAACAACGTCGAGATTCCGGAGCAAAAGAATTGCCAGCAGCATTCTTCTTTCCATTGACGCTACAGCAAAAGGTTACCATTACAACCTACTGTAGCACATGTAGTTCGTCAATGTCTAATTATAGACACACACAATGAATTACAAGCGTTTGAGATTATCATGATTTCCCCCTCCCTGCATACAATGTTATCGGAGAATTATGACGTGACGTTCACAACCCAACATGAAGTTTGTATGTGGTAATACACAGTACCAAGTACACTCCGTTACGTTTTGCCCTTAGACAAGTTGTAATTATTCCGAGAAATCTAAAAATAGATTCTTCTTCTATGCTGATTGGATAGCCGGTTACGTATAACGTATTGACGTAATAACATAAATTATGCACTATACATGAATTACTGTTTTTGTTCCTGCTCAAATGTATTACTGATAGTTTCCAAGGGTGAGTGTCCCGACATCAAGGTTAAGTTATTACACTTACAAATACGTAACAAATCTATATGACATTAAACTTCCAAATAAACCATACGAATCCAAAGAAAAAAATTATGCTACTTTGCTCACTCATTTTACTTGCAGAAGAGGTTGGTACCGTGACTACAACCGTAGTAATAGCACTACCGGCAGTACTGGCACTGGCACTGGCACTGGCACTGGCACTAGATGTACTGCTTGAGGTTGCGCTCGATGTTGATGTGGACGTAACTGGAGCTGAAAGCTGAATTTCGACGCTAACATAGACGGAATTCATTCCATTTGCATTGCTCACGAGAAGACACCAAGTATTTAATGGAGGTGGAGTGGTTGGTTGAGTTTGATCGCAGACTTGTACACAGTAGTTGTTACTTTCCATTTTGAAAAAATAACGTGTAGTTGAGTGATATGATTAGTTAGTCAATGTACTTATGCCAAGCGTCTAACAAAGTAATAGAGCCATAAACTTGTACACATCAGAGTCTCACTGAGTGCTATGTATGCTCTGATATACAAATTCCTTACTAACCATGACAAATATTGTAAAGTAACATTATAAGTGGATTGAGTTGGGTCAAGAAAAATAGCAAGTTCCGCCGAAGATAAAACTTCCGAAATCACTCCTCCTGTGCAAGGAAGATTATAAGGTGTGCCGTATGTAGTTGAAGAAAGACCGAAGTTTGATGTCACGGGAAGTGCTTGGTTTGATGTTTTAACGACAAAAGCTATAGAGTTGAGCAAGAAAAATTTGCTGAGTAATGAATATCCACGGGTTAACAATGTCCAGACTATATACTCACTAAAGTAATTCGTTGGTTTTGGAGTACAAATCGACCTTTTAAATTGTTACGATACAACATTACGTTAAAATGTGTGATTCAATCTTTGGGGCCTGAATGTGTCAACATGTGCCACACCAAATACAACGGATATTCGCTTTATGTCATGTCTCATTCTTATCTTACCATGAAGAGTTGGAGCGCATGTAGATGTTTCCCGACAATGATTGAGCGTTTACTGTAATTATCTAAATGCATAATGTTATCAGACAGCCAAGTAGAGACAGAAAATCGTCTTTATTCACTTACCGAAAAAAGCAATGCTAATACGAACAAAATACTTTGGACTAGATTTTGCATTTTATGTGAGTGTATTTGAGTGTGTGGAATAGATTTAGCAATTAGCAATGAAAAAAATCCCGTTCGTTTCTAATTGTTGATTTTTTATATATGGGAAGCATTGACTTTGTTGCAGTATTTTTATATACGAGTGACAATTTGCCGTCATACAAGAAATTGAGACAGTAAAAGTTCTGCCAACCCCCGTTTTTAGGCAACGTGGTATCAAATTTTATTTGTAATTCACGATTACGATATCAACCCCTGAGTTTGCCAAAAAAGCATATTTTACAAATCTAAATGTTGTGTCACATGTGCGAATCTCTCTTAATACTCAATAAAAATACTCGAATATCCAGCTTAAAAACAAAATCAGACCTCAGAATATTTACAAGTGCTACAAAACATAATCGGTACTGTTAAACTAAATAATAACTGTAAGTTTTATAAAGATAATAAAGCTAGAAACCAAATTTCTTTACTCGCATATTGGGTAGAAATGCTACACAGAAGTACTCTAACAACGTGGGATTCCGAAGCAATAAGAATTGCCAGCAGCATTCTTCTATGCCACTAACGCCAAACTTCCATATTCAAAACGGTTACAACAAACGTCAATCTCCTGTGTAGCACATCAGCAAATTAAGTCCGATCAGTGTCTAATTATAGACACACAACGAATTACAAACGTTTGAGATTATCATAATCTCCCCTTCCCTGCAGACAATGTTATCGGAGAATATGACGTTCACAACACAACCAACCAACATGGATAGTGAAGAGTATGTGTGATTAAACTATGTGAGTAGTATGTACGTGGTAATACCAAGTAACACTCCGTTACATTTTGTCTTTAGACAAGCTGTAATTATTCCGGGAAATCTAAAAATAGATTCTTCTTCTAGACGTCGCACCCCGCAGGGATTGACAATGCCTTAAACACTTTGTGTGTTGACAGAGGGATAGAAATCCCAATTTCGTCCTTATCGAGGGTGGATTGAATAGCGGTTATGTATAGCGTATATAATTAATGCAGTATATATGAACTACTGTTAAGCTTATCAGCAAATTTTTTTCAGCCGCTCGGCGAATCAGTCTTGCTTACGAGATCAACGTTTTTGTTTCTGCTCAAATGTATTAACAAAGGATGAGTGTCACCCCAGACGTCAAGGTAGCACTGCAGTTACTATACTTGCAAATACAAAGAAATAGCGCTCATGTTTATACGAAAAGATAAGCCAGTTTATCGAACTAACCCGTTTTTGGAAACCAGTTTTATCGTTGGCTCATTAGCTATGTGACAAGTACAGATTTACCGATAATTAAAAAAATTTTAATTGTCGTCACATCAACCTTCGTTTTTTTACTGACGGATTAATTGTATAAAGATTATTATGTCATGATAATGGAATAGATATATTACTAACTACCATAGTAATTTGTATAATAGAAAAGCTGCAAGCACACACTGCAGACATAACTATCAGTCATTAAAATTTTATATTTGATCTTGTTAAATAAGAGAAACGAGTTTTTATATGAGAAAGTATGTTATGCAAATAAAACTGGAATAGAAACCAAACAAAAAGTGTTGAACTCTACCAAAAGTAGCTGAATAAGGACATGAAACTGACATTTATGCTAGATATAAGTTGTTCACTCTTATAATAGAAATGCATTTGCATAGTACCCAGCAACGGCATCGCATTTCACGCCACGTTACCGAGTGGTAAACGCTTTTGTATCGTAACGGTAACACTACGGCATATCGCCTTTTTTACGCTTGCGTTAAATTGGAACTCAACAAAACGATAAGATACATAAAGGCTGCTGTCTTTAACACATAGGTAACAACAAAAGTATCATACGCCTATAATAACGTTATTATCACGCTAATCTTTATTTGCATGCTACAATATATTGTAGCGGGTAGCCGTACGCTAATTTAGAAATTCCTGGCCGCTTATAAACTAGAAACGTCAAGATTTTTAGCATCGAGGCTATAATTGTTTCGATTGCGAAGCTAGCAAAAAATATCGCATTAATTCAACTTTGTTTGTAAAAAGTGACGCAGACAATAACAGCAGTTAAAATCGTTTACCATAACTGTCGATTCTCGTTCACCTATAAGTCCGCAAGCGTAGCGATAACAATAATGTCAGTTAATATTATTAGAGTTATATACAATTACAGTATCAGATCGGAATTATAGCATGATGTATGAATATGGTTTGCATTCTACTTCAGTCTTGTCAAGTTCTTGGACATGCTGTCTCACAGTATTACATATTATAAGCCACGATTTCAAATATTGTGGTAACATCTATATCATTAAAGAGTGTTTCGTATTCCTGATCTATTTGAGTCAGTTTATCATTTGAATATCTCAAATATCGTTTTTAATTGTGTATATCAATAATATCAAGTTTATTGCAATGCTGTTGGTCAACTGCACCCACCGCCAGCTCCCAAATTTGTCGATCTCAAACTAAGCCGTTTTATGTGTAAACTTACATGTCAGTATGGTGTGGATTACATCAAATTCGGGAACCGAACGTTTGAATCAAGCGAATAATTCCTTCATATCTGGTTACATGTCATGCCATGATCTCATTCCACAATTGTTTTATTAAAAGCCATGTAAAATTATGCATCAAACAGTTTATAGTGTGAATATTAATTTGATGCATGCAATTGTTCCACAACATGATTTGCAATGGATATATAGTATAAACGCGCACGCGTTCTTTCCCTTGAATAACTTGACAACATGGACAAAGTTGATGGAAGATTTGTTGCTCAATATCTGAGACAATGTCCTGGGGCTAGTGATGATGAAATAATACAACAGTACAATGAGCCCAAGCAAGGTAGGGCAAGCAAGCAATGCACATTTGTTGGGAGAATAGCTATCAATGTTATCAATGTATCAGTTGGGGCTGCATTGTAGCAGAGCTCCTTCTACTTCAAAGAATGCCTTCTACTCTGGGTGGGAGGGAAATAGCCAAGTCATCAGAACTAAATTCTGTGCAGATACCAAATTTATCCAACTCTTCTTTGAGAAAGAGAGTGAGGCTGACTGCTTCATCAAACAGGGACCCTTGTTGTTGGGAACTGCCATGTCCCCATTCTGGCAGTAGTCAAGATTGACTTATTGGAAGAAAAAAACTAAAGAAACCTCTTGGCTCCCTACTACTGCTTGCACCAATTACAATCAAAGGTACCAAATGGCTTACCTCCAGATAGAAGGCCTAGTGGAAGCCACACCTTAACCCAACAAGGAATCCTTCCCCCAGTCCTTGAAATCAATGATTTAGAAGATTTTCAGCTGGATCCACACCCACCTGTATATTTCATGGTGCATTGATATTGCAAAAACACAGCCCAAGAGATGTTAAGTGGCTTGGTGTACACAATATCTCTTGCATTGCAGATGGCAGCTACAACAAGGGAATTGCAAAGCTGCTGGTCAAAATTCTCCAATCATGGCCTGAACCTTGCACATTTGCATCAGGGGATGTCCCAGAAGAGTATATTGCAATTGCAATATCTTCAGGATTAACTCAGGAAGTCATTCTTTCCCCTGAGATGGCTGGTGGCTTTTTACAGTGTTATTGCTAATACACTACTATCTCATTCACAACACAGAGTATTTATTATGGTGGATTGCAGATTGGATGATATTTATTCTTGTAAGATGCTTATTCTGTTTATTTATTCTTGTGAGATGTTTATTCATGTAAGATCTTTATTGATGAGATGTTTATTCATGTATGCTTATTTTGACAGTATATTGCATACAAATTCATACTTTGAAATTTCCACTCTCCAAATTTCTAAACTAGATATAGAATGTCAAATTCAAAATGCCAAACTTATTTCCAAAATTTTTGATCTATGTAGACAAAATTTTAAATCAAAAATCTATCTCTTTTTTTGGGAAATCGTTCCTTAACAAAACATCTCCTTACTCTGCAACTGAACACTTCTCAAATCTGTAAAGAAAATTCATTCTAAATCTCCTTTTCTCCTTGCCAACTCTCCTTCTCTTCCTACTCTTCAAAACACTTTACCCCTCCTCTACCTCTCCCCTACACTCCTTTCTCCTTCATCTGTATTGGTCCTCTGAAATTTTCCATCACCATCATCAAAGACCTGAAAAAGATTATAATGACAATCTTCCTAAAATATGCTGATCATATATATATTAAAGAACCTCTTCATGTTCAATTGAGCTCTTTTCAAAGGCAAGATCCAATGATGAATCAGGCTTGCCAGAAAGCATAATAATACCTACAGACTTTCAAAATTGGCAGCAGATGCATGATGATGAACATAATGACAGGTGTGAGAGTGATGAATATTATAAAGAGCATGAGAATGATGTGGTTATAAGAGTGATAATGATGATAATGATAATAATGATAATAAAGAGTATGACAATGATTAATATGAAGAAGACTTATATATAACTTCACCAGCAAATGAGCATCTAGAAGATGAAGATGTTGAGAAAATAGTAGATGAGGATAAAGGTGACTATGGAGCATATTTCCAGAACTTCATCTCAATGATGCTGTTTCTGTGGACATCAAAACATATGATATGTAAGTATGCTTGCATGGAGATGACTTTTTCTTCAGTCTACTCAATATCAAGTTAGTATTTTAACAGCCACAGAAGCATATGAATATCTAGCAATCACCTCTCTTCAATACACAAGAATGTTCAATGGTTAAGAGGTTGGAATCTGCTCTCATACTATACAGTGGCAATTTCAACAAAACACAAAAAGCAAGCCTTCTACATACAAGAAACTATTGAGAGAGTATTAAATGATCCTTTTCTTTTATCAAGGATGGATTTTGGTCCTGGTGTGTATGATTACAATAAGTATGAATTCTGGCATGGAGATGTTTGGAAGACATCACCTTTGTTGGAGAGGAATCCATTAGTAGTTTGTAGTTTATATTTATTAATTACAGAATAATTTATATACTATTGCTATGGAGATGCAACATAAGTCAGGTGTATCTTCACTATTGTTAAAGAAGGGTGAACAGTGGTGTCTGGAGTCAATATAACATTGAGATTTGAAGACCTTCCTAGGACTCTACAATTGAACAACAGACAGTTATAAGCAGCTAGTGGTGAACTATTAGTAAGCTTGAGGATGTCTTAGGAACCACTCACTACAGCCTGGCTTAAAGACCTACCAGAGCCACCATCCTACAGATACAATATCAGTGAAATAGTATATTCCTGGAACTCCCATTGGCATCAGCATCCAAGTGAATACATAAAACTCACCTCAACCTGATACTAGTATTTGAAGTTCATTTATGAATGGCTTGGTAAAGTCACTAAAGCTGCCCCAAAAGGAATTAATATTAACCAGATTGGGAATTGATTCTTTAACTGTTTTCTAAGGTTAAACAGAAATACCAAATTGGAGATACACTCCATCAAGACTATGGTAGACACTTCAAAAAGTGGCAAATTGTCATAATCTAGAATGGTATCAATTACAATGGGGGAGGAAGTATGGGTCATTGCTGGATTAAGTTCAGTGACTGGTGATTTACCTCAGGGAAACATTCATGCTGGTGTAAAGAGTCATAGCAGTCAGTTTGGTTGTAGAAGTTGTAAAGTACCTTATGATATATGAGAGGCTCCCAAGTCACACAGTGACTTGGTTATGAATGCCAGATATCACTATCACCACTTAACAACTGAGGACATTAATCAAGTACAGCAGTTGACAGGTAGAGCTTGTTCACAACTTGCTTCTCCCAATCCTCTTGATAAGCTCTTATGTGATAGAGTTCTCAACACATAATCTCTATCATGCTATTATAATTGGTGGAAAAGTCTTGAAACTCTTAGATGCTACAATAAATCTCCTGGTAAATGCAACTGCATTATGTATTGGAAGTTTATAAAGAAACCCCCACCAATTGGTCAAAGCTTCCCAATGCACTGAGTCACATATAGAGTTTTATGGTCTGCAATGCTTATGCCCTTTATTTTGTACTGCTGTTTCACTCCCAGTTGTATAAAAGTTATGCATTAGAATCACTAAAGAATAAGTTGGAAGTCTGCAATGATGAGATTGTGTTGGAAGTGATTTGCTGCTGATGATTGTGGCCAAGACAGCAAGGCTTTCTTTTTCTACAGTCTTTACTGACCAAACTAATAAGGAGCTTAAAGAGTGCCTCTGCCAAAAACAAGATATTTTGACAAGGGTCTTGATATGCAATTTTTTTGACTATCGTAATATTGTTTTATCAAACAGTATGTATGATTATAGATAAACCAATCTTGAAAAACAAATTAAACAATTTTGTATAAGCTAAATTTGCATTGCTACCATCTCTTTCCCTCTGTTGCACACTATTACCTGTAGTATGTTAAAATAGATGTAGTTTTGCAATAAAATTGTACACTATTGATTTCATAACTATAACATTATAAGCATCTCTTTTCTTCTACATTCACAACTCATTTTTCTACTCATATTAATATAATTTAGTTTCAATATAGTTTATTTGGCATATGGTCTAAAACTAATTGTTTCTAACATTAATATAATATCTTATTGTTACACAATGTACATATCCAATTCAGCATTAAAATCAATGTTTCATTAAGACTATCTATAAAAACAATCATAAAAGCTCAGAAATCATCCACCCTGTGAACGCGATGGGCTAACACCGAGGGTTCGTGCTCGGCATCGCTTCATTATGGGCAATGTGTAGTTAACGATTAT